CTTGGAGCCTTGTCTGAGAGATGGGAGAGAGAAGGAATAACAAAGATCACTTGTTTGCCCTGAAACTTGCAAATCTTTTTTTTTCTTTCTTCCAACAGCATGAGTTGGTCAAATAAATCATATTCTCTCCACAAAACCACTTCCATCTTTAAGCCCTCAAAGCTACACAGCTGCTGGAAAAATGCGTAATGGATGTCGGGCTGGTACGTGAGATCAGATAAGCAGAAGGAAACCAGGCTTTTGCAAGCTGGAGAGGAGGAGGACGATGAGATTAATCAGTGCTGTAAGTGGTTAGAGAGCTGCCAAGGAAGAGGAGAAATACTTTTTCTGGAAGCTGCTCTTCCCCCTGATACAACCCAACCTCTCCCAGTTTTGAACTAAACTGGTGATACTGGAGCAATAAGTGATAAGTCCTAAACTTCATACAAATGCGCTGCTGTTTGTGTGGTACGACCCTGAACTCACTGAAGTCAGTGGGAGCTTTTTTGATTTATGTCGGCACAGTTCATGCCGGGATTTCAGTGCTGCACATAAACAGAGCGAGGCAGCTCGTCGCTGCGCTTGCTGAGGCAGAGGGCACGCACGCTGACTGCAACCCAGGAAGCGCTTAGCTGAAATGTTTAGTTTGGACGCTCGGACTCTGAAGTCAGCAGAGGGACAGGGACACTTCCCAGAGGCGATTTGGGCCTTTAACGTGGTGGCTTGCTTGGAGTTGCCTCTTTGCCTGACTGCAGGTGAAGCTTTGGTCAATCAGGATCCTGCCTTCAGCATTCCGGCAACCTGAGTGCAAACGGATGGCGGTAGCCTTTGCCTTGTTTTTAAGCCCTGTTTTAGTAGAGATTTGGGATGGCCCCAGTGACAGGTGGTCTGTGTACAGCAGTAAATTCAGGAAAGAGCTGGCTGGTCAGACAGGCGTCCTATCTGCTCCACCATCTTTTCTCTCACTTTTGACCTTCATTGAGTTACTGCTCGTGCTTTGATCCCAGGGGAAGCAGAGGGTTCATGACACCTTCAGCTCCCCAGAGAAAGGCCTCTTTCTGCCATAACTGAACTGTCGTCTGGCTCCTCTTAGCTTTTCCACCTTCAGCAGCTTAATACAAGGCATGATAAAGCCTTATGATCCTTCTTGGCTCTCAGTTTTCTCTCCATTGTTTTTTTTCCCCTACAGCAGCCATCCCCAGGTGCTGAACTAGGGAATTACATCCTTCAGTTCAATAGGATCAAGGGACTGCCTGGAGAATAACGGCAGCATTGCCATGTTGACTTGTGTTGACCAAGGGGAAGAATTTGGATTTTTACAAAAGATACCATTTCCTAGAAGCTGCCTCAAATTCAGCATTGCGTGTTACCTTCTCCTTCAGCAATGCCACTGCAAATTCCAAATACCATTTGTTTAAAGCTGTATAATTTTGAAGTGAGTTTGTTCCTTTATGTTTGTCCAAGGATGACAGGGCAGGAGAGTGCTTGCAAGAGGAACTGGGTGGAGAGGTGGTTTTGGAGGGTTTGCTTGTCTGTTTAAAATGAAGCTTCTGGTGGGTGAAAAATGAAGCATTGAGAACACTGCTATGTCTGGGACGCAACCTGCACCGAAGCTGAGCAGTCCGTTCAACCAGGGTCTTCTGGTGCTCATCTTACACCACTGAGGGCAGTGGGAACTTAGCCATTCAACAGAGTTTGAGGCCGGTCAGGCACTGCAGGAATTTGCGCAGAAAGTTATGGTAGACATGAGGAGCTGGAGTCGAAGAACTGGGTAGCAACAACCAGATGATAATTTGGGACTCTAACTGTCAGTGCGTGTTGTGAAACTCAGAGTTTAAGAGGAAGTAATCTGTAGTAGGAGGAGGAAGAAAACAGAAGAACCTGAAACAAATCTGCTGGTGAAAAGCATATGCATCGCCTCCTGTAAGCAGAGTTGGGAGTAACATTAGACTACAGTAGGACATCCCCACAGCAGGAGGTTTTCCAGGATGGTAAGTACATTTGCCATCATCTTGAGAGTGCTGGGGGGTGGTCATGGGGAGATGAACGCACATAGTTCATCTGAGGAACTTCAGTCTCCTGGGAGGATTTTGTATGCTGAAAAGTCTCATCCTTGTGTTTGAAATCCAAAACCTGAAACGGTTTGATGCTGATGGAGAAAAGAATTATTAAAAGTTATTTTGGGGACAGGGAGAAAGCAGCCTTCGTGTCATAAACAACAGTCTCCCGTGTGTACTCAGCAGATTGTGGTATTAGCTTGTGTTCCAGCCTGTGAAGCAATGCTAAGTAGCGCTTGTATTTATTGCTCTTGGACAAACTTTAGTCATTGAAATTGGCAGCCAGTAAAGCCCTGAAAGCTTAGAGGGAGCCACAGTTAATTACTGACCAGCTACAATGTTATTCTGAAGAATTCTGGTGGAGTCTGTCATGTTTTCTTTCTTGAAAATTAAACTGAGTATTTTAAGTGCATTTCTCATGACTTCTGTATAGCAGCTGGGAATCTAACCCATCACTGGCCAAAGATATCAAGAAGGACTTTCAACCAAATGGTCGATGGTTCTATTGTGACACAGGTGAGATCTGCTCACCCTCATATTTTAAGAGAAATGCTGCTTTTGAAGCCATTTTGTAACTGTTACTGAAAAAGAGAACCGAAACAAGTTGTTTCTCATAGCTCCCTTCTGCTGAAGCCATCACACAGCTGTAAGTGCACCTACAGCTGCAGTTCCTTACCAAGACACTGCTTGGGTCACCAAACGTATGGTGGGGAGCACTTTAGCTTTGGGGGCCAGAGGGACAAGACGACACCTCTCATGCTCTGGTTCAGTGGTGAGAACCACTCAGGGCGGCCAGGGGGCTGTTTGTTAGGGGATAGCCCAGCTGGGTGGGACAGCCGCTGCCAAAGTGGCGAGCTGTGGAGTGTGACCTGCAACCTCACAGGCCTCTCCTGGCCCAGGCTGAAGGATTGCTGCTGTTGGTTTTAAATTGTCTTTCTCCTCCTCCTTTGAAAATCCCTTTGCCTCAGTTTCCAACCAAACTCCTTAGCCTCTTCCCTCTTGCTCTCTCTTCCTTTTCTTCCCACTGAGGTTTCTGGGTTGGCATTTGAGCACTTTCTCTCCAGCTGGTGGAATGACGTGTGTTGCTGTCACACAGCTTTCTCTGCGTGGTGTGTTAACATCTCCTCCCTCTGCTTGGGCTGTAAGCTCTTTGGGGTAAGACACTGCGTCTTTGTACTGTGCTTAAAACATGAACTGGGATTTCAGGGGAATGGGGACCTGACAGTCACCAGGGAATGGCCAGCTGTCTTTCACTGCTGGCAGCACTGCAGTTCGTCCAAGGCCGAGAGAATGGGTGCCTGCCAGCATTCCTAACTACTTCTAGTGTAAAAGCTTGCCTCTGGATCTGGGGGCAGCAAAAGGAAGTGCCAGTGAAAAGCGTGAGTAAAACTGCCTTGGAAAGCAGGGACTGCTGCAGTGACTGCAGCTGGTAACAACAACAAGCAGACCCTGAAACGGACACTTCACTTTCACCTCTGCAGCTCTAGCGCGCTTTTAAACATGACTGTTCCTACCTTTTCTTCCCTCTCCACCTTGCTCAATCTCCCTGGTCTGCTCTTTTACCTTGGGTCCTCTCTTTTCACATCCCTCTCTGCATTCCCCAAATCACTGTTTCAGACCCACCTCCCTTGTGTCCCAAGACATCCTCCACCTCTTTGGTTCAGCCCCATTATTTCTTGTGAGCTGGGTCCCACAAGAAGCCTTTGGGGTTATGTCTGTGCTGTGTCCAGCTCCTGCCTGTTCTATGAAGTCACAGAATCCGTTCAGAAAGGTGGAGTGGGCAGGAATCGGACACAGCATGGACATCTGTGGCCATGCTGCCTTGCTGGTGTGGGAGGGCAGACACCACAAGCCCATCCAGTTCAGGTGACAATAGCTGTGAACATATGGCAAGATGGATGGGACAAGCCTGGCAGAATCCTTCCTACCTAAAACTTGTTCAAGTGTGGCCACCCACAGAGCAACCGCATATCTGATACCATTACAGCATGTTCATCCTCGAGGCTATGAATGTCCTGTGGCTCAGGGGTAGGAAGCGGTAGTGTGGGGACTGGACAGGTGGTGATATCCTCTGGTAGCACTTTTTGAAATCTACCATACCCCAGGGTGTGCTTCTCGCTTCTGGGCATGAAAAATGACAGCTGACTTCTATGGGGTAAATTCACGTCTGCCAGCGCAGGGATGATTCATGACCCATTGGACATGTGTGAAGTTTTTGGTTTGACCTTTTGAGAAGGCAAAATCAGCAAGTGGCCAACTACCCCTGCCCTACCATCTGCTTTGAGTTTGGGCATATTTTGGTATTTGTCCTTGTGGTCTCCTCTGCTGGTGATAACAAAAGAGTAGGAGCGATACTGTGTGAGGAGGAAAAGAAGTTAACTTATTTCCCAGGGTCATCGTTGCAACAGGGAAGAAGAGGAGTTTAGATTTCAGCCTGGTCCATGCTCCCTTAACAGTGTCCCTTCTGTAAGAGACAGCAGCACTGAAGACAACTCATATGCATAGGAAGAGAGCAGGAGACCAATAGAGTAACATACAGGGTGACACTGATGCTGTACACCATCACCCACGGCTTCTGTGCTTAATTATGAGTTTGTTGGCAAATGTGTTAGCTTGCAACAGGACAAAAGTGGGTGTTGAAAGATAACTTGAAGAGGCAGCGACGCAGTTGCTTACACATTAATTACCGCAGTGATTTTTGTGTGTAGATAGCACCAGGAAGAAAACTGTGGGGAACTGTCTCTCTCACTTTGGAGACTGTTAATGTCACTCAAGACCCATAATACAATGAGGATGTTGCACAGACCCGCACTTAAATCTCAGAGCATTATATAAAGCAATGGCAGTAACCTGCATTTTTAGTCTGTAACTGGCTTTATACAAATGTTGCCATAAAGCTTTATTTTTCCCCTTGCATACATTTCTGTTTTTCAGATTGTGAAAAAAGTGTTAAAAACATCCCTGATGTTTAATGAGTCCTCCAACATGAAATTAAGCGTGAACAATCAAAAAGACGTCAAAACGGTAATTATTGGGATACACTATGTTTGCTTACAAGAGCTGGGATTGCACTGACATTTCTGAAAAGAAATAAAAGATGAGGAAGAATGATTTTATTGCTTGTTTTAGAAATCCATGTAGGTTTCTATCCTATTTGTAAACAAGTGAGTGACAAAACCCTCATTGATTTATCCGGTAGGCTGATCAAACCTTGCCAAGAGGGACCTTAATCCTGCAGCCCTAGCTCAGGACAGTAAACCTTGATCATACAAACAGCCTCACTTCCACCATTAGCACAGCATTTATTTATTTATTCAGTGTGTCTAAAGCACCAGGACATCACAGAGTACAGCATGGTGACAACCAAGCTGTGACTTAATAAAAATAGGTGTCTTACCTTAGAAATGTCATATAAAACCTGTGCGATGTTTAAGTCTTGCCATCGCGTTCACAGGATGAAATGCAGAACTGTTGAAAACTGGTGGGATTTTTTTTTTGCTGTCAGTGAGAGGGAGAACAAGCCAGAGAGAAAAAATTTAAGTAGATAGACGGTTTAAAAATTTTTTTCTCATTCAAATCACCGCCTGAAATTGATGGCAGCTCTGTAGATCTTGAGAAAAGCAGAGAAAATGAAAAGTAAAAAACTTCATCCACATAGAAACTGAAATAGATACTCTCAGAGGCAACTAGTTTAGGTGCAGTTTTCACATGTACTCTTTTGGGAGCTCCTATTTATAGCTACAGCCTCATGACCACTCCCAGACTCAGTTCTTCTTGCCTGGAGGTTCAAAAACTCAACTCTGAAGTGCACATCGCATATCACAGCATGGTGGATGGTCCCAGTTCCCAAGAATTGCCATTGGGAGCCAGACAGAGTGATTGTTGGTGCGAAATGGAGATGCACTGGTGGATGTCTTTTCCTCCTTAATATAGGGCAACACAAAGAGCCTGGTGCTGAGTGCTGCAGGATGTGAGTGGCTGGACTCCAGATCTGGATTTACCAAGTGGCCAGGCTATTTTTATTTTTTTTCATATACATTCAGGAAAAAAAAGGAAGTACAAAAAAGGGGAAATGAATCTAACTCACCACACTAGAATGACAAGGAAATACTATTCACTCACCACATGGATAAATGAGATTTGTACAGTTTCACTTAAGTGAAGTCTAAGTTAAAAGGCAAAACCAGAACGTGCTCGGAAACCATAAAGTGTCCTTCTGCTTTTGATATTTTCAGACTTGTTTTTTCTCCCCTGACTTCATGAACTTCCTCTTTATGATAGTGCTGGGCTTGATCCCGCAGCTGAGCCTGTGTTATGGATTTCCTTGTCTTGATTTTGGTAGAAATTTTGTTGAACACTCATTTGTCTTGTGCTACAATAAAGCTAATCAATGTCAAACTAATCATAAGGTTTGGGAAAAAACAGGTTTTTGGTATCTTGGCACAGGAAAAATTAAAACAAAACGAAAATCATGGTCCTCACATAAACCAACCCCTATACAGCTCATGATCCTCACTTTCAGTGATGTATCTAAGAATACAGTCTGCCAGTACCTGAAAGCAGAACTACTACTCAATGATTGTGATTTACTTACCTGCAACAGGTAGTCATCCATTAGCTGGTGTATCAGTGACTTGGTAATCGCTTAAACCTTCTCTTATTTAGATTCTGTTCTAGTTTCAAATCTTAGGGGCAGTTTTGATACTTGGTCTTGTTGTCCTGATGGCTGTTTACTTCGTGAGAGTGGACAGCATAGTTGATCCTAAGGGAGAAGAAGCGGTTGTTAGCATTTATGAAGAGGTGGAGGAGGAAGAAGGGCTTTACGGAGATCTCCCAGGAACCACAATAATTGAGGAGGATGCCAATAGGTCAAATGATTCCTGCAGGTAAGCTATGCCCAATGGCACATGGAGAAATAGTCACCAGTTGGAGAAATAGTTACAATGCTGACAATATCAGCATGGCTTTTGTTCTCTTCCCATTGTATAATAAGTGATAAAGTACTGCTAATTTGGGAAAAGTGGGGGTGTTGTTTAGGCATTGGGACATTAGTAGTTTCCTGTTACAAGGGGTGGTAGGGGCAGTATTGCAGCTCCACTACTGGTCCTGTGCTTGTACGTTTAGCACAGCTCTGTTGCTGCTCCACCACCTCCAGCCATCCTCCCTTTGTGGCAGTGGTGGGAGACAGCAGAGTGACCAGCAGGCAAAGCACCCTCTGCTGAGCGCACCTTCTTTCAGAGGCTGGAGGCGGCAGTGGGTGCTTGTCCTGGCAGAGGGTGGAGAGGGTACCAAAGTGACATTGAGCCCCTGGGGGTTACTTTTCTCCTCATCTTTAGGATGGTAAAATAAAAAGCTCAGAATGACTACTGAGAATCCATTCTGCTGGATTTGGGAGGACAATGTATGATATATGCTTGGCTATAAAACCTGGGTATGGAGAGTACTCCCAACTTGTTTGTCCATCTCAGCTTGTTTGCTTTTGAGGCTAATGTCCAAATGGTCAACTGTACAACCTGAGAGGTGCATGGTTTCTTGCTTGGGTCACACACATTTGCTTCACAATACACAATTTCCATTGCAGCTTTGAACTTGTGGAAAATGTTCCTTATGACTTGGCTTTTGAGATAAATAGCACTGCAGCCAAACCCTTGTACCAAGCCTGGATGAGACTCCTTGATATAGCCCAGGAAAAAATTCATGTGGCTTCTTACTATTGGTCTCTCACTGGGAAGGATATCAATGTCAATGATTCATCTTCCAAGCAGGTATGAGAAAATCGACAAGCACATCAATGGTTGTATGTCTCATGTACATCTGGCAGGTGGCAGATTGCCTGTGTGGTCTGTCTCCCAGACACATTGCTTGACTCTTCCTACAAACCCAGAAAGGTTTTCCATGCTGGTCAGAAGCAGCACACCAGCTTTCCTCCTCCAGTTAAGTTAGAATCCATCTGGGCTCTGTCCCTGTCTCTGAATATTTCTATGCTGTATTTTAAGAGCAACAAGAGGTCAGCCTCAAAACTACGCTTGCTTACCCTGCAGATGGTGACCTTCTGGTAGGGGCAGCTGGTGGCATGGCTGAAGAGCCTACAGGATCCCAGATACACAAGTGAACATGCCAGTTCCCCCTGGCTAGCTGGAAGAGTCAGGAAGCAAAGCCTGCTGGACTTCTGACTGCTTCAGAGGCTGCTTCTCCCCTGTGTACAGACACAGTGTCTGCATTCACCCATTTTGCAGGTGTCTCTGAACCATGCCGTTGGACTACAGCTTAGGACATTCATTCTCCTTTGCAGGGCTGTCCTCCTGGGCACCCTGTGCAGCCAGGTTTCCTGTGGGGCCTCTCTGGCTGCACCACCAAAACTAAGTAACAGAGGCCGCGGCACAGGCTCTTCTTGCGACCGTCCACCATGTTTAATTGCCCCTTGGCTCCCTTTTGGCCTGTGGCAGCTGGCACCCCCCCAGGCAATCCTGAACAGGATCTGGGACACTGTTCTGAAAAGCAGAAGGGTCAAGGCCACCATATTTCAGGCAGTTAAGGAGTTCAGTCAGGTGGCAGGAACCATGCTGCTGGCTGATAGACTAGACCCAGGCCTGTTTATTACTGTGGGCCGAGCCTCTGCCTCCCTCCTGGCACACCTCCCTCATTGTCCCCACCATCTCTCTGGGACTGCTCTCCTTGTCTATCTCCCCCAGTGGTTCTGGTGTTGTGAGATGACTCATATCCTCCACATGAGAAGAAGTAAAAGTGACAGATGTAAGGCTGAGCCCTGTCTCCACTAAAGGGACAGCTCAGTGTAGGACAGTCTCTGTTACTTTTATCCTCAGGGAGAAATGCTGCAGCATATCTGTTGAGCATCAACATCCAGCATTCATTGGGGCATTCAGCTTTGAAGTCTGGGACATTTGTGGTCACACTTTTAAACCTTTATTAGCATTAAACGATAGAGAATAAACTTTGATTCATACAGTGCATCAAAATCTTTTTCCCCTTTTTCTCTACTTGAAACACTCCTGAAAGAGGTAAAAATTCTGACCATCCTTGTGTTTGGGTTCTTCAAAGGAAGCATCCGTTGGTAACACTGTAGTCGCATATATCTTACTAAATGTTCTATAACAAAATATCAAAAATAACAAACAATGTACCATGCAGGGTGAAGACATTCTGAAGAGGTTTGAGAGATTACTTGCAGAGAACATCTCTGTGTACATTGCAGCAAGTGTGCCAACTTTGGCTACAAATTCAACTGACCTCAAGCTTTTAGAAGAAAAAGGTAACTGTCTCTCTTCAGTGATGTCCTCAGAACTTCAGTATTGCAAAAAGGCATCTGAGAGTAACTGTTCTCCAAGGCCTGTTCTGGCATGGTGCTTACATGGGTTCACAGGACAAGCACTACGTATTCGCTGGTTCATGATTTCTGTGTATGTTGTCATGCCCTTAAGGATTTTTCTGAAAGTTCACATTTTGTATATATTTGCAAGTTATTGTATTCCCAGGAATGAGTGCTTGTGAATTTTGGTAGTTGTTATCAGTTGCAGGGATTAGACACTCAGACATGGTCTGGCTGTCAGGGGAGCAGCATAGATTACCATCTCCATGCTGAACCTGAACTCTTTTTCCCCTCCCCATCTTTCTTCAGGGGCTCATGTAAAAAAGATCGATTTTGAACATTTGACAGGAGGAGTGTTGCATAGCAAATTCTGGATTGTAGATATGAAACACATATATATTGGCAGTGCAAATATGGACTGGAGATCTTTATCTCAGGTAAGCTCTGCTGCTGCATATTCAAAAATCTGAGGGGAAATTCATGTCCTAGCACATAACAGAGGAAAATCATAATGATGTAAAATATTGATTGAGTGGGAGAAACAGCACAGAAAGCCCTGGAGGTGGAGGGGTGTCTTCCTGGGGCTGTGACATAGCTTGCTGTCTTTGCAGGTGAAAGAGTTTGGTGCTGTGATATACAACTGCAGCTGCTTGGCCAAAGACCTCTGGAAAACATTCAGTACGTACTGGGATCTTGGACATGCTAATGCTACCATCCCGTTCCCTTGGCCTCTTAATTATTCTACCCACATTAACAAGCATCGGCCTCTGGAAATAAAATTTGATGGAATCCTGACAAAAGCCTATTTTTCTGTAAGTACATTTAAAAGTAACAAGATAGACTGTAAACTATGTTTAAACGTTGGCCAGAAAAGTTTCTTCAGCGGTCCTCAGTTACTTGTGCTCCAGTTGGGTAATTCAACAGGTTTTTCTAGAACAACTCAAGGAAAAATGGTTGACCCAGCTTGGGCTATCAGGTAGGATGGCAAGGATGGGGTACAGGTCTCCTTTAATGACCTGTTGGTTCAATATACCAATAAGTACCTGATCCATCAGGAGATGGAAGGCATGAGGAACGATAGTGGTCCACCTCAAATGCTTCATGCTTTTGTATTGAACGCTGAACAGATCTGAATATAACTGAATCACAGTCCGACAGAAAAAGGAGGAAATCAGTGACGTGTGTGTTTTCTTCTTTACAGGCTTCTCCTCCAGCATTTTGTCCAGAAGGTCGCACTCATGACCTCTTTGCTATAATCAGTATTATCAGTGAGGCACAGAAATTTGTCTATGTTTCTGTTATGGAATATTTCCCGACCAGCCGTTTCGTTCATCCAGAAAGGTATAATTTTAAACCTGAGCAAATCAGTTGACTGCGTTGTTTAAAGGGAAAATATACTATTCCTCTCCTTCTGCAATAAAAGGATTCAGTGGAGAGAACTGAGGCTTTGCTTTGCATTCACGACTGTCTTGTGGACTGTGTAAATAGTGTGTGATCCAATACTGCCCGTATGCCTTTCTAGTGTTTTAGAGCAGCCTCCTGTGCCCTTCACACAGCAAGAAAACTGTGAATTGCCAGAGGAGGGACAGTCAGGTACATCTCCCTTCAAAATGCAACAGAGCAGCTTTATAAGAATAGAGAGAGCAATGGGAACAGCAGTAATATATCTGACATCAGACTTTTCAGAGAAAATATTGTTTTGCTCCCTGCTTCTGCTCCTGAGTCTCTCTTTCTGTTCTTTACTTCTGAAGACTCTTGACTTCTGGCTTTGTTGCCTGTTTGACCTACTTGACCCATAGTTTAGAGGCCGATTCTTAACTGTCCTTGCTGACCTCTGCAGTGGTGGCTGAAACACTCTCTAAAAGAAACTTCTGGGCTTTCATTTTCCTTTTTTTATAATTCCATCTAAGGACATCCAAGTTCTTGAAGTGTGCTGGGTGCGTGCAGCAGCAGCTCTCAAAGAGAAGGTGGTAATGGTGATCTGGAGGGATCAAATTGTGTATGGTGGACCACTGCCGTGGTCCCAATGGGCTGCCCAAGGTCACAGCAAAATTATGCAGAGTCTGCACAACTCAAATCTGAGTAACGCAGAAAGTTAGTCATGGGGCAACGACTAAGACTCCAAATCCTCTTAGATATGCTCGAATTAGGATGTTTACATGCAACCAAGTGCTCTGAGTATTATCTGCTTATAACATTTCTGAGTTTTCCAATCATCTAAATAATCTGAGAAAGAACTTCAAGCAAAATAATTATGTACAACATGGCTTGTAAAGAATAGGGTGAGCTCTAGGTTGCCATTTAGCCACAATTGTACCACGCATCATGTCCTCTGGCATGACTCTGTAAATCCTCTACTGTTCAGTTGGGCATGGATGTGTTAGGAGGAAGGGTGTAGGATAATAGACAGACGAAGATAGTTCCACTGTCCTTGAAACAGAATCTCAAAGACTAGCTTCTACTTGGAGGATATTTTTTGTAAATCAAACAGCTTAGAGAATTTTCGGTTTCTATGTTGTACAGTTGAATCTCTGGGTTTCTCATCTCCTGCTTTTAGCTAAGAATAGGTTCACAGAAAATCTCTTTTTCCCCTTAGGAATGAGTGTGTTAATACTCCTCATTCTTCATCTGAAGCCTTAATCCACCATTTGTGACATCTAGGGCCTGATCTGATGCAAACAAGAGTTTGAAAGGCCTCGGGAAAGCGGTGCGGGGCCTCGGGCTATCTCCACAGCAACCAGCTGTAGTGTAATGAATTGAGGCTGATTAGTTCAGGTTAGGTTCCTCCAGCAGCTGAGGCAGAGGGAACAAAGCTGCTGTCTTAATGCCTGAGTGTTAATCAACTAGAAACCAATATATTTTAAAAAATGAAAACTGTTCAAATATAGCATTTCTAAATAGCATGTTTTCCCAAGTTTTTCAGGATCTTCGAGTCAGCCGGAGCCTGAAAGCACACGGTTGGTCTGTCAATCATGATAGAATGATGTGCAAGGGAGGATTGGAGAATTCAGGCCTTTGTACATAAGACCAAAAGGAATAAGTTAGGCAAATTAATTCATCATTGCTCATGGGACTGTGAATGAGTGCTGGACGTCTCTCTGTATCAGTCCTCCAATCTGTAATAAAGACGCTTGTCTTCCTCCATGCAGCATTTCTTAAGATCTATGGAATGAAAATGCTACATGGGCGTCTGGAGCTGGGATGTACATTGTCCATTTCTTAGTGTGGTGTAGTTGGGTGAAGGATTAGGGAAAAATTTTTCCCTTAAGCTACTGCCAACACAAATGTCAGGAAAACAGACAGCCCCGTGTTCAAGAGAGCACAGTTGTGTTTGTTACCTCAGGGGCACACGGCATACTAAAGAGGGCAAGGAGGGGTGGGGAGGGATAGAGCCTGTCCACGCTGGCTGATGGCAGACGACCACTGCGGACACTAGAAACAGTCTCCAGCATCCTGAAATGGCCATAGTCTGCAAAATGGCTCTTAGGCTTTCTGCACTGTCCTTTTCACTTCATGCTGTACGATCTGGATTTACATTGGGGTTGCTATTGTTATTTTTAGTTTCCTAAGGAAATAAGCATGATGGCACCATGCTGTGTACGTATCTCTGTACGTGAACTGTACTCGGTTTTAAACTTTTTGATCAATTGCAAGCAAATTTGGCAGAGATCAGAGGTCTCAAAGCACACCGGAAAAAGAACTGGCTGGGTAGAAGGCAGAAATCTTTTTTATACCTTCAGTGAAGGCACAAGTGCTCCTCTTACTAGACAGCAGAGATCCCATCTGTGCACAACATCACTTGTATTCTCAGTTTACTGTCACAGCTTTCTACTGAACTGTTTCAAAAATGCTCCTCTTTGTACGCACTTACTTGTCTCTAGGTACTGGCCAGCCATTGACAATGCTCTCAGACGTGCAGCTTTCAACAACAGAGTACCAATCCGGCTTCTGGTCAGCTGCTGGACCCACTCTGACCCAGTCATGCTCTACTATCTGAGGTCCCTGCGTGCTCTCGACAACCCACATGCCCACATCAGTGTCGACGTGGTACGATAAGAAACTTGATTTTGGAAAGACAGCTTGAGAATATGGGCCCCTCACTGATTTTTGAGTCTAAGCATGTGCAAGCATCAGGTTTTAGAGAAGCAGATTGTCCATTGTTGCAGTGACTGTTTCAGGTCCTTGAGAAAGTAAGGCCCATGAGATAACCTTTGAGAAAGCAGCAATTGCAAGCTACTAGTGACGCCAAGGGATGTGCCTGGCTGCAGCGCTTGCAACGTTATCCAGGCAGTCGCTTTTGCTGAGCACCATGACACTAACAGTTTGTATAACAACTTACTGCTCTTCTCATAGACCTCTTCCTGTATGGAGTATCTTAAATGGGTCTAATTGCTATCAGTTTTTTACAGTTGAGAGGTCTGCTGACTGCCTGTACAAATTGACTCGTTTTTGAACACTAAATATTACACACAGGCCATAGGCACTAGGCTGGAACTCATCGAGTCAGGTGGGGATGGTGTGGAAGCTCCCAACATAATGCAGTTACCATGACAGAGAGAAGTCACAGAAGTAAGTAGGAATGGCTTTTACCAAAACCCCCCCAAACCCTCAAAGGAACAGAAATGCAGGTTTTAGTAAGAGTTAACACAAAAAGTTAGGCATTATTGTTGCCTGCAGTACCCCTTGTGTTTGTGATCAGCCCATTCTAGCACAAAATAAGAGCAGCAATCAGTGGTAAATGCAGATCTATTAAACAGCTGCCTAAAACTGCATTTAATTGTCTGCCCTATAATGATAATAGCTGTGCCACTAATGGAACATTGTGAAGCAAACATTATCCTTATCTGATCTCAATTGCTTATCCAATTTTATGTATACTGGAAGTACTATTTGTTAGTTTTCTTGGATAAGAGTAAAATCTCTTTTATGGTACATTTAATAACAGTGTGTGGAATACTCTCTTCTGTTCTTTCTGTCCTCTTCTATTCTTTGAAAATACAGTAAATCTGCATTGTCCAATTATTCAGTCTGTTCCTCATCCTGGTATTTCTATTTATGTTTTTAATTTTTCGCCCTCCAGAAACTCTTCATTGTTCCAGTTCTGAATCACACAAATATTCCTCATGGGAGAGTGAATCACAACAAATATATGGTCACTGATAAAGTAGCATATATTGGTATGTATTCCATTATTCCAAACACTTACAGTATCTTCAGATCTCTAGGACTGAGACTGAAATAGGATGGGCTGCAATATCAAAAAAGACCTCATTTTGCCATGTAAAGCAGATAAACGTATCAAAGTACATGGCTTTATCAGAATGTCTGCCCTGGGTAAAGAATTAGAGACGTGAAGGGGAGAAAATAATGTAGGTCAAGTTCAGTAGGAGATTATTTCATATGATTGTGAACCATTAAGAACGGAGCATGACAGGTCTGAGTGCACAGCCTGTGACAGGCACAGTAGGAATTTCACAGACGGTGCACTCAGAATGATGCAGTGATAGCTGATGCTCTAGTACATAACATTATTGGGCTTTAATAAAAAGAAATTGCTGGGAGGAATTAATTCCACGCACTGTTTGTTGAACAGAACTCTAGGAAAGGAAATGAGAAAGCAGTAATGCCAATTGCTGCTCAATTCCTGAAAGTCAGGATGGGGTTTATTTTTTCACTCTTTTATTAGGATCTCTCAAAACAGGGAATGTGAAAGGGCTCTGTCATTTCAGTCAGCTCATCCTCCAAGCAATGCAAACCAGCAAATAGCCCGATCTTCCAATGGGCTGAGGACTTGTAGCTCCATTTGGTTTTAATAGAACTTGTTTCTTACTGAGGTGTCTTTTGAAGACGGATATGCAGATAATTTGTTTTCATGCCTAAGCACTTTATGGAATTGACAGATTTTTCTGGCCAAGCCGAACACCAGGAGACATGCTAAGTGATAAAATGTGTATTTTGTCACAGTGTTTGATTTTCTGAGTTGTGGTAGCTTTGGAGAGAGCCCTAGACATTGTCTGCATCTTGATATCCAGCTTTGCCTGGGTTATAAGTGGGCATTGCAATCCTCAGAACAGCCCCTGAGGATTTCTTGATCGAGGGTCCAGTTTCTCCTCTTGTTTTCCTTTAACAAGTAAAGAGAATTAAGTCCATTAAGGATTTTTTTTTTTCTTTAAACACAGAAACCCATATCAAACGCTGGCTTTTATCCCTCTTAATACCCAAATGTTGCACTCTATTCTCATGTTTGTAATGAGTGGATTCATGCATCTCCTTACAGCACAGGCTGTAAGGAGTCAGACTGTTATGAAGCTTCGGGGTTGCAGTTAATACTGACTTTCTGAAAGCTGAGGTCTGGAATGAGAAGGAGGTGACCTGATTTTTGCTGCTCCATTGGTTCTAATGAGATTTGCGGTTGTACGGCAAATCAGCAAAGCCAGGCAATGTGGACTTAACAAGTACAGAGATCAAACAGAACACTAGGAAATGAATGTTTTCTAATTAGCTACTTTTCCATTGCATAGGGACTTCCAATTGGTCAGAAGATTACTTCATTAACACAGCTGGCGTGGGACTAATTATCAAACAGAATTCGACCAACCTGCAAAGAAGGCAACTGCCTATCCAGGAACAATTAAAAAACCTTTTTGAGCGAGACTGGAATTCCAAATACGCAGTGAATCTGGAAGATGTGCAGGGACAGAAAGACTGCAACTGGAGGGCCAGACTCTGAAGTGAATTGAAATACACATTTTAGATTGAAACAAAAATATATTTGAATCTCATTCCCCGTGCAAAACAAGGAGCTTTCTTCCTTCTGTCTTTGTCAGAGAAATTGTTTCCTCGTGGCATCCACACTGTTTGATGATGTGAGAACCTCTCATAGCTGAGTCTACCTGCAAAACCATTAGTCAGTGTGTGGTATTTCCTTTTTTGTGTAATTACCTCATCCCAGAGTTAATGAAATGCACACAGTGTTATATGACAAGCTGTCTGATATTAAAGGAAACATGGAAAATACAACCAGATCTTAATACATTAGAGATGCAGATCTTTATTGCTGTGCTATTTTATCTTAGGAAGCGATGCGTTTCATCCTTAATGTTCCATTAACAGTGTTTGCTTACATGTGTTTAAGCTTTTTTTAATAAACTCTTAGCCACTTTAAGGTTTGAGCCATGTAAGTAATTACCTACGGCAGTGAAGGCAGATTTTTAAAATCATTTGGGAATTAGAGATACAGGGGAATACCTGTATTTAAGTGTCGAGGCTAGTTGCCAGAGTTAAATGCCTGGGATTTACATCTTGGGGCCAGCTTCCAGCTCAGCTGCCCTGGACCTCTGCATGTCTGAGGGTGTTTGGATGTCTGTATATTGGCCTCATGCGGCAAATAGGACAGGGGGAGCGGGGCGAAGCTGCTGTGTGAGCGTTGGTGTGGCAGAGGCATCGCACCCGCACTGTGGGCAGTTCCTGGAGAGCCTCTTTTCTCCTTGAGGGCTGTCCTGGTGCTGGGCCTGACCGGCGTTGTGTCTCTGGGCTGCCTTTTCTACTGTAATCACATAGGGACTGTAAACCTGAGCCATCTGGTGCCTTATGTCCTTATCTGCCACTGTGCAGGGGCTCTGCTCTGGGTGGCTCTCAGAAGGGACAGGAAAGGACAGCAGGGCACGTGCTCCAGCCGTGGAGGGGTGCGAGTGACACGGGGCTGGGGCTCCATGACCCTCGCTGATGCCAAACACCTTTGCCTGATGCTGGAGAAGGAGTCGCAAAGTGGACTTTTTGCTTTGGGACTGATGTACAGCAGAGGCGAAAGAGCCCAAGGCAAAAGCCCAGCGCACGGCTCCATAAACGGGTCAGGCAAACCCCCTGTCCTGGTGCTCTGTCTCTGAGCTGTGAAAGCGCAGCAGACCTCTCCAGCTCCAAAGGCGTATGGCAGCTCGTTATTTCACTCCCGTCCTGGCAGGGCCTCATTCAGTTGCATTTTGGCTCTGAGGTCACCTCTCTTGCCCTGGGTAGTGGGAGTACAGGCTTCCCCATCATGGTGCAACCTCCCCGTCCTCCAGAGGAAGCATTTTCCTGCTTTTGAATCCCTGCCCTGTGCTGAGAATGACAAAGGGACCTGATGTGATCGTCTGTGTGCGGACTTTATAACTTTGTGAATACACACAAGTCCCAATACAAATAAGTCCCTGTGAGGTCTTTTGGAGGTGATCCCAACAAATTTTCCAATTTTCGGTTTCCAGGCTGCTCCTTAGCTGTCTCTTCCAGACACTTCCAAGATTCCTTGGATTGTTTTATCCATCATAACAAATCAATGCTTGTTGTTATTAAGGCAGATTTTTAAGACATGTAGTTACATTTATAGAATCATAGAATCCCAGAATCATGGAATCATAGAATGATAGAATGGTATGAGTTGGAACAGACATTTAAAGGTCATCTAGTCCAACACCCCTGCAATAATCAGGGACATCATCAACTACCTCAGGTTGCTCAGAGCCCCGTCCAATCTGACCTTGAATGTTTCCAGGGATGGGGCAGATAACACTGAACTTTTGCGAGTAATCACATATGTATCAACATATTGAGGAAGATGCAGGTGCTTTTAGCACTCTCCTCCCCTATTTCCTTTCTAGAGGCTGCTTAACATTTTGAGATTTCCATTCACTAATTAAAATTTCTGGCAAAGTAGAACCTCCCCAGCTGATTTTCACTACCTCCATTTCACAGGTTTATTATTCTGTACCAACAAATACATCTGACCATGCACTGTATTAATATTTGCATGCAAGAATGAGGTAGGACAGTTTTTCCCCAGTGCAATGAGCACATGTGAACGAACAGTGGGTCAGTTTCAAAATCTTTTTGAGAAGTTCCATCTTTAGCTAACAAAACTATTTCCTGTAAAGGCGTGTGCTCCTCTAGATGGCACTCGAAGCTATGTTTTCAGTGTTTTGGGGGGCTAGATATTGCAGGAATAAGAAAACTTCCTACTTGTGAGCTCAAATCTGACAGTGCTGCATAAGTTGTTCAGTGGGACAGGGTTTCTGGGCAAGCTGGGAGACTTCTCTTCTGGTAATATAAGACTTGTGTGGGGTAAGGTTCAGCTTATAATGGAAAAACTGATACTTATGAGAGTGCTCTTTTATTTTCTTCACTGTCATCATGTGTATTGTTTTCTCTCCACATATGAAGGAGGGGTTTACTATTAAGACAACGAATTGGATCTAAGAGGAACTTCAGTTTATTTCCCTGGTTTCTTGTGAGACTTTTTAGGCCCTTTCATAGCTTTATTCTAATTTGCTTGTTCTCTATTACAAAGATGCAATATGGTGTAGATTATAACAAGACTTTGGCTCTCTTAGTACTTTTCCATTTATGAAACAGGGTTAATAGTCTTACCCACCCACCTGTTGTTTGTCTCTTTCATTTCCATTGTGATTTCTTCCAGTTAAGGACTGTACCAAATGTAAGTTGGGGCCTCCAGTAGTATTCATTAGCATCTATTTATTATCCTTAGATGGATTTTCTAGTTTGGTTGCAGGCAGTTCTGATTTTTCTCAGTATTGGTTTATTCATGTCTGGAAAAAGTTGCTGGTTTGGATCTTCAGCCTGGATACTCTCCTCTGATCAGCTCATCTCACGTACCTGTGTTAGATGGACTACAACTTATGAACTGGCCCTGCTTTATCTGAGCAGCCTTCATGCAGAGGTGCTGCGCTGCTCTCCCAGCAGTCTCATTTCTGAGAGCGCTTGATTTGGTGCAGTGCCCTGTGGCTACAGCGCTGCTGACAGCAGTGCAGATGACAGCAAGACAGAACCCAGCTGGCTCCATAGGCTTATGAGCTCTGACAGGACTGCTAAGTCACCTGGCTTCACACATTAGACACCAGCTTGCTCCAAAAGCTTCAATATTATCTGTTTTCAATTTTTCCCCCATTACCCAGGATTTTCCTTTCCCAGTTTCTCCAGATAAATCATATCTTTGTTGCTTTCATCCAGGTATTGAGAAAACTTTTCATCTACCATTCATGCTGTATCCACGTACACTTAATTTTTTGGCAGTCATAAACATCTGCATAATCCCTGGAGGACAGCTCTTCTGTCATGGGCACTGACTTGTGGACCTATGTTCTCTGCAGTTTCCTGAGGAGGCGAAGTGGAGAGGGGGGATGCTGATCTCTTCTGCCTGGTGTCCAGTGAGAGGATGTGTGGGAATGGTTCAAAGCTGTGTCAGGGGAGGTTCAGACTTGACATTAGGAAATAGTTATTTACCAAGAGGGTGGTCAAACACTGGAACAGGCTTCCTAGAGAGGCAGTCAATGCCCCAAGCCTGTCAGTGTTTAAGAGGCATTTGGACAATGCCCTTAATCACATGCTTTAACTTTTGGTCAGCCCTGATGTGGTCAAGCAGTTGGACTCGATGATTATTGTAGGTCCCTTCCAACTTTTCTATTCTATTCTATTCTATTCTATTCTATTCTATTCTATTTTATTCTATTCTATTCTTATTCCATTCCATTCCATTCCATTCCATTCCATTGTTCTTCATATCTATTATTAATTTGGCTGTCTTGCTTTGGAATATATGAGAGATCCTGCTTCAAATATAACAAAATAACCGAGCAATAGAGATGTATTCATGTCTTAACAATGTAAGATATTACTGAGGTTTTTATTAAAAATAAATGTCTTTCTTTTTAATGCATTTATACCTTCTTTTGCATGTCAAATCACAGTTGTAGGTTTGTTTGGCTGCAGACTGCCTGTAAATGTTTACCTGTTACATTTTCAGATGTTAAAAAATAAGTAGCAGTAATCAAGGAAACCTACCACAGTTAAAAGAACAACCTGAGCACCTCAACCTAAGTATGCAGGTGGGGTCAGAACCACAGAATCCTGTTGACAGAATGTCTATGTTCTGCAGGTTTGTGTCTGTGCTCCTTGCACCCTTTTGAGCCCTGTCCTTAGCTATTCCTGTGGTCAGACCCTTGAGCAACACCTTGTTAGCCTTGCTTTTTCACTAACCTTCCCCTTTCCCAAAGCTGACAGTAGCCTTTTTGGAGGAAGATTTTATTGCTGCTTCTTTTCTCTACTGCTCTTCCCTTAACTATTTCATTCACGTTTTAAAAACATCATAGTGATTATTGCTCTGTGGTCAATGCTCTCTCAGAGCTCAATTTTAATTGACTTGATTCTGTCACCTTTTCCAAAGACACCTACATTTTCAGCGCTGTCTAGATGGATTCCTATTTGTGGGCCTCAGTAAATGGACAGTACCTGAGAAACATTTTATGTGAAGGCTGTTTTGCAGGCAGATGTGAGCTGCTGTCAGAATGGCATGTCCTTTATTACATACATTACCTTTTTCTGGACTCCATTTTTCTGTCTTGATCACGTCATTTTCCTCGGTCCTGGTATATGCCATTGCTGTCTGATGTGGTAATTTGGGGTCTATTGAATAATGACTTTTATACTTAGGGAAACTTCAGGGAAATGCTGCATGATCCAAATAAAAGATACACGCCTAACACTTATGTGAACAGTCTCTTCAGAGATCATTAGAGCTCTCTTTAGAATAACTGCCAGCAGTTCTCCTTAGAATATTTAAGCCCGCTGCAAAGATATAGAAATGAAGAACATCTCAAGCTACAGATGGTTAGACAACCAAGTACACTTCCTTTACAACCCAATTTTTAAATGTTTTCCTGTGTCTACTTTCCCTGTACTAAGTAGAATATGGAGAAAGAAAATACAGGATGAGAAAACTACTATAACGAAGCATGTCTGCACATGCAATTCTATAAAACTCAGGCTTGAAATGAGTGAAATTTCTCAGATTAGTTCGTAACCATTACCACCGTATTTAGAAACTGTGCTGTCATTAAGCAGCCACTTCAGCAGATAGCGTGGTATATTCAAACCTTTTGCAAATTTAAGCTTTTCTGAAATCAAAAATTTGGGATTTTCCAAATCAAAAAATGCTAACAGCATTATCAGTAACTCACACTACTCAAGTTATTATTCATATGGTGAGTTTATTGTGAATGAAGAATACAGACAATGTTTTAATGATACACGTGAAGGCTGTCACGTATGCACTCTGGTTTCCATCGTGCACTTGAGAGAAGCATTAATATAAACAAAGAAGTTAATAATTATATACATCTCCTTTCCCAGAAAATCTCTGAAGCAATCCCACCAGTGTGGCAGATCATTCTGTGCATTTAACTATCAAGTAAATATATACATTAAAATTTATTTATCCACATTTGAATAATTATTCTTTATCAGCATGTTTTATTTTTGTATCTTAAAAATGTGAATTAGTTATATGTTTTTTGGTCTTAAATTTATTCTGTTGGGCTGTTAAAAATTCTCTTAAGGCTAAATATGACCCACCAGAATAATAAAAAATGAGAAGAGAGGAAGGGGTAAAGCGTTAGTCTCTCTACACTAGTATTTTGGTTTTATTTTGCATTGTAAAATTTTTGTGGAATATACATATCACCTTAGCTGAAATAAAGAAAAGTATTTTAATAAGAAAGCAAAAGTAGGTCAGAAAGGTCCAAAATCTAAACAGGTAAGTATAGCTTTCATAGTACTAGTTTATACTCCATTCTGGAAATTATCTAGAATCTAAACATAAATGGTGTGTTTTTGAGAAGCCTATTTAAAAGTCTTTTTGCTATCATTGAGCCTTTCAATAATTTACTTTCATGGTTTAGGCATCTTTTCAGACTTTGCTACAACTATGGTCTCCTCTGTACCTGTAGAAATCACAGTCACACAGAATCGCTGCCTTTGAGGCAGATTTGAAGAAATCAGTATTTTTATTAGTGTACATCCCTGTACTTGAAAATTTAAATGTGGTAAATTGTGTTCAACTGTTTTCATAAATTTCAGCTTTGGGTTTTGTTTAATTTTCAGTGACTGGAAAATTAAGAAAATATTTTTTCTGTATGTGTAGATTTTTTTTTTTTCATTGAAGGTTGAGAAAAGACAATCTTCATTTGGTTGTATCTCCAGGAATATTAGATTGACTATCTTTTTCTTCCTCCAACAAGATTAGTTCAGTTCTTGCTGAAGATGTCACAATAGTTCGAGAAACTGGAACATTAGATGAGGCCTCATCAATTTCAACTTTTTCATCCTCTGTTGTTTCTTTAGGTGATAAGCTTTCTTGAGCATCAAAAAATACATCAGGTTTATCTGACGGGCTATCTTCATCTGAGATTCTTCCCTCTTTATGACCTGTCTCTTCTTTGTCAACTGTCTTAGCCTTTTTGGAAGGAGATGTGAAACCAAGCTTGGGAAATCTAAACCATCCAGTTTTTTCAGTTTGCTTAGAAGCATCATTATCTGATGTGTCACCAGGTTTCACATCTGGAACTGATTTTTTTTCTTCTGGTTTTGGACCTGTGCTTGTTTCATCACCAGAAGATGAAAAGCCAATAGTTGGAAGCCAAAATTTGAATCTTCCAGGAGACCTTTTATTATCAGTCTTTTCCTTTTCATTGGTTATATCTTTTTCTTCATCTCCTAGTGCTTCAGCTACATCCTCATCTTTAGAGAGATGACCTGCAGTTATTCCCTCTGGTGACTTATCAGGATGACTCTCTTCAGATTTACTGGAAGGCTTTACTTCAACAGCAAATGTTTTTAACTTTGGCAAACTTACTTCTCCACTAGATTTTTCAGTCTCACTGTGTGGTTTGTCAGGTAGTTTAAGCTCAGCGCTGCAAGTCCTCTGTGCTGCTACTCCAAAGCCTTCATCAGCACATTTAGGTTTGCTCACTGATACATCTTCTGTTGGAGACGGCTGCTGGACTAGCACTTCTAAGTTGCTATGTGATTCAGGCAACTTCACCTTGAGCAATGAGAATCCCAAAGTAGCAGTTTTGACTTCTGATGAGAGAATCTCTGATTCTTTCAGTATTTCAGTAGTGTAAATCTCACACCTTTCAATAGCAACATGTTCGGGTTCTACTTTCTCACTCACTTCTTGGCCCTCAACATATGACCAATGAAGGTCTTGCCCTGCATTTGAAAGAGAGGATTCTATGGTAGCAGTCATCTGAGCTGTTTTAATGGCAGGTTCAGTCAGTGTTAGAATTTTGCTTTTTGCTTTTTGAATACTACCCTCTAGAGCCTCTGGTGTTTCTTCAGGGAGAGCAGGACTTGCTTGCAGTTGCACTACTTCAATATCAGAGCTAGATCCCTTTGGATCTGTTAGCACTTTTGACACTGAAACATCAGCTTCAGTTGGGACAGCTCTGAAAGTGAATCTCGGTATTTTCAGTTTGGGAATTTTTATATTTACTTCTGGGCCACATTGTGATTTGTCCACTGTTTCCACTGTTATTCTGGCAGATGCTTCCATATGATCTAGAGCTGAACTTTCCAGGCCGATGTATGCTTCTGATTTTTGAAACTGCATTTCTGCCATGCCTAATTCAGTTTTAGATACTGAATCAGCTTCTGACTTTGGCAAATTGCTATAATCTTCAAAACTCTTCACTTCTGAATGCAACAATCCGAACTTTGGAATCTTAAACTTGTATGTTTTAATTTTACTTGTTTCTGCTCTGTCTTCTACTTGCACTTCCACCCCTGCAGACTCATCCTTTTCAACACTTTTCACTTGAAATTTCATTTCAGGATCTACTCTAGCAATTTTAACATCCATTTTCACTCCTGGAACCTTTAGATCTTCCAGCTTAGCTGTAACATAAGTACCATCTTCTGATCCCTTTGTTGTAGGCCATTCACACATAGGCCTTTTTAATTGGCTTCCTTCACTGTCTTTTCCTACAATTTTCATCTCACCCTTTATCTTTCCTTTTTTAATTACTGCCTCTTGATTTTGAATATCTAACTCTTCCTTTGGAAGATTAACGTCTATTTTCTGCTGTGTTGCATCCAGAGTAATTTCAGCTGATGACGGTTTGCATCTTAATTCTGCAGTCTCTAACATAGTGGAGCTTTCTACCCTTGGGACTGCTATATCCTGTGATTTGACTTTATGTTCTTGAACAGTCAGAGTACATGTAGGAAACTTATTTGTTAAACTGTTGTCTTTGTCAGTTTCTGAAGCACTTAGGTATGATTTAGACAATTCTGCTGAATACACTGTGAATTCGGAAGTATGCATTTTTTGTCCTTCAGCACCACGCTTAACTATATCTGCGTAAGTTTCAGTTTTTGGAATATTCACTCTACTATCTGTTCTTTCTGCAGATAATGTAATATCTCCCTCCACCTTTGGCAAGCTAACATCAGAACTCTTTACAGAATCTCCTAATTTTGGAATCCCTTCTTTTCCAATAGTAATTTCAGCGACTGCGTGTGGTAATGAGAAGGCATTTTCAGGAATACTTGTTTCAGTTTGTACTTTGGCAGAGGGAATGCCTGCCTGAGTTTTTTCCATACTTTCAATACCAGCATCACCTTTTTTTTCCTTTAAGGATGTCCTGCCAAATGCAGGTATTTTGAATTTTGGCATTTTAAACCATCCTTGATGTTCTTCAGTCTGAACTTCTTCAGCTTTTATTTCATGTTCTTCTTTTAATTTGATTTCTTTATCTTCAAGTCTCTCAAGTGCTCCCTCTGTCATTGTTTTAGACACTGACTGGTGACTTATGTCTACCTTTGGAGCTTCAATGCCAGCTGTCAGAACTTGGGGTGTTTTTGTCTTACAAGCATAAACACCTACTCCAGGATCTGACATGTCAGATGTAAGTTCTGAAGCTGGAACTCCCGCAGCAATGTCAGCAATTTCTTTTGTCATTTTTAGTTGGGGTAACTCAGTTTCTATTTTTGGAGAGCTGATCTCTGTCTCCGGGCCTTTCTCTTTTGTTAAGGAGATTCCGAACTTTGGTTTCTGGAATTTGGGCATTTTAATCTTCCCTTCAGGACCTTCTGACTTCATTTTTCTTCCATCCACAATGGACGACCTTTCTGTTACTATTTCAGGGCTCCTCAGTTCAGTTGAAGCTTCTCCTCTGGGCAACTTAATACCAGTTTTTTGAACGGTATCGTCATCAGTAGAACTTGATTTTAGAACAACCTGTTGAAAACTCCCCTCTAAGGGAGGCAGAGCAGCATCAATCTTTGCTGCGCTGACTCCCATGTCCGTTTGCAAGGCTCCAGTTTCTGTTTTGGAAAACTCCGGAGTAGGGATCTTAACATCAGCCAGTTTTACACTTATTTGGGCCCCTTCTTCTGTCCTTTCAGAATGACTTCTTTCTATATCAGGTATCTGTATTGAATCGTCACCTTGTCTTTCTGTGTTAGGAATAGAAGCATCAACTTCAGCTTTTGGTGAATGTGTCTGAGATTTGGGAACCTTGATCTTGGAGAGTGAAATTTTAGGCATGACAAATTGAGGCTTTTTAATCGGACTTTTTTGTTCAACTTTCCCTGCTGATATTTCCAGATCAAGGGCTGGCCCAGTACCTTGATCACCAGTTGCAGGTCCTCTCACTTCTGTGTCTATTCTGCCTGATGTTACAGCAAGTTTACTATCTTCCAAATTTTCTCCAGAATCTGGTTTCACACTTGCTTCCTTCTTCGGGGACCAACTGAAGGATGGCAGTTTGAATTTTGGCATTTTGAAATGTCCTTCTTTCTCTTCCCCATCTCCATCTTGCTTTATTTCCCCTTTGATTTTCAGTGTTGCATCTGAATCCTGAATATCACTGTCTGGTTTTGGAACAGAAATGTCAGCTGATGGGGGGTGAGAATCAGTCTCTGATGCCTTATGGTCAGCTTTGGTCATTTTGACTTTAGGGCTATAAGTTTCTATTCCTGTACTACATTCAACCTCCAAATTTGCTGCTTCGAAAGCAATGTCATCTATTTCTACCGTTGCTTTTAGTTGGGGAACCTTGACTTCTGGTTTGGATTGGCTGACTTCCTTTTCTGACCCTTTCCCTTTAGAATGTGTAATTCCAAACCTTGGCATTTGGAATTTAGACATTTTTGTTTTCCCTTCAGGACCTTCAATTTTTATTTCTACATCACCCACAGCAATTTCACTTGATGTTCTTTCAACATTTATGTCAGGACTCTTCACCTCAATGGAGCCTTCAGTTGTCATCTTAATATCTGAGGTGGAGAGGCTGGCACCAGCAGCAGCTGATTTCAATGTCAGGTCATCTTCTTCACATGTAGGAAGTCTGACTTCACCTGTAGGCATGCGAATGTCCACCTCTATTCTGGGATCTTTGACTTCTGGTTTGGAAAATTCCAAAGTTGGGACTGTAACTTTTGGCACTTTTATACCCATTCCTGCACCTTCCCTGCTACTCCCTTTCTCAGATTTCTGTACTGAAGCACCTTCTTTTTCTTGTTTGGGACCACAAACATCAGTTTCTAGTGTGGGCAGAGAGACCTGGACTTTCTGACCCTTCATTTTAGGGAATGAAATCTTTGGCATGATAAATTGGGACTTCTTGTTTCTGCCCTTTTCACTATCTTTTTCTGTTGATGTATCAAATTCCGCATGATTCTCGGAGGTAGGAAATGTTAATTCAGATTCTGTGCCTCCAGATAAGGTAGAAAAAGTGCATTCTTCCAGATGTCCCTCAGCTTCAGAAGGAGCAATAGCTTCTTTCTTTGGTGACCAACTAAATGAAGGCAGTTTGAATTTTGATGTCTTAAATTTGTTTTCTTTTTCCTCGGTGTCCTTCTCTCCTGAAACTTCCTGTTCTGCCTTGCAATCTAAATCTGGGCCATGGATTTCCACTTCTAATTTTGGCATGGTAACTTCCATTGATGAGAGACTGACATCCAACTGATGAACAACTTCAGGTGAAGGCTGGTGCATCTTTACACCTAATTCAGCATCAGGAATCTGACTGGGTTTTTCAATATCGGTATCAGCCAGATCAGATGTTATCCTCCCCTTGGAAATTTCAGATTCCACTTTGGAACCAATGTCACTCTCTGATGGTTTTCCCTTAGACCAAGAAATACCAAATTTTGGTTTTCGGAATTTAGGAATTTTAACTGTAAACTCTATGTCACCAACAGATATGTCAGCACCTGGTGTTTTCCCTGCGTGTTTCAGACTTTCTTGCTCCAAAGAACCATCATCATTCAAAATTTCAAAATCTGTATCTGAAATATTCTCGTCAGCAAGAACAGTTTTTGATTCAGATTCTGATATATTCATTTGATATTTCGTAAGAGTAATATCCCCTTTTGGTAATGGGGAATCCTGATCAATTTTAGAAGACCCAGTATCAACTTTGGAGAAACCCAAGCTAGGGATCCTGAATTTAGTATTTTTAGAGACACTATCTCCCTTAACATCACCATGATACCTAGATCCGAAACTACTGGAAAGAACAGCAGAAGTTTCCTCTGTAACTGAATAACAAAGAGTATCTGACACAGAAACTTCAACTGCTGACTTACTATGTGACTGAGGTTTCGAACTCTTAGAAAGGGAAACCTTAGGCATTCTAAATAGAGAACTTTTAGCTTTACCCATTTCATCCTCTTTCCCAGAGGAGGAATCTACAATACTTTCGAAAACAGGTGGTTGGATGTTGGCCGTGGCAGCTGGCAAGGTCACGTCGACTTCGGCG